AGAGTCCTCAATCAAGGAAACCGGAAATCAGTACAAGGAACAGCTCAGAAATGTGTGGTGCATCAAGTGTATCAGTTAAAAATAATAATTAAGAATCATTATGTATACATAAATGAGTACTTTTTTCCTGTACTCCTGTTGAATATTAAATTTTACGAACATGCCGAACAAATAAAGTAATTGTGAATGCAATAAAATAATTACAATAATAAAGTGCTTAGATATAAAATGTATTTAATATTTTAATGTATATACAATATGAAGACACCCTACGTTAGTTTAAATATTACAGTGTGCGGTCATTAAATATAGATTGTGTACAAACCATTAATTCTTAATAATTTACAATAGATGAATACATAATGTTTAAAACTTGAATTTCTTATTGTTAGAGGCAATATAATAATTATAATAATAATGAACGTGAATATATATATATGATAAAAATTAATTTTTAAACTTGAAAGGAATACAAAATATGTACATTGGAAAAGCATATACTCAAAACAATTTTAGTTGTAGTTAAAAGTATTCATAACATCATAGATAACTTATTGTTATACTTTCGTTAAACATTTTATTTTATTGTTTAAAATATATAAACATATAAAATTAATTAACATTTAAATCTACACGTTGCATGTTTATTATCTTTACATTCGTTGTTATTTAAATAAAAAATATTTATTTACTATATATTTTTGGACAACTAGTTGATAATATCAGACGTGTTAAAAACAGTTTATTGAATTCTCGAACAACAAAAATTCAAGTTTAATATCGTTACATGATAATGTCATACATACGTTGAAACTTTAAATAATTATTCAAGATTAAAATCTAAAAATTAATTTTCATAAATTCGTAAAAAGTGGTTATTTTTTAAATACTATTTTCAAATATGTTTTGTAAATAGATTTATTAGTAGTTACTCATATTTATTTTATATTTTAAGTTTAACGAACAAAATATTAAAATGTTCACAACAAATAAAATATTTATTCCAACCTCTATAAATTAATTTATGACTTACAAAAATGAATATTTTAAAAATAATTTTTTTTTTTTTACCATACAATATTAAGTTCTGGCTATTATTTTTAAGGTCAATATCAATTCTATTAAAATTATTTTAACTCTGCAATATCAAAATACTTAGTGTCTAACAATGTATAAGCGTATAATATAACATATCAAATACATTTTAGTCAATATGAAATTAATTATTCACGAGCAAATGATTTTCATCTAAAATATTATTAATAGAAAAATATCAAATTTTCTATTTTTTCTATGGTTTAATATTGCCATACAGAATAATAATAATGGTGTATATTTCATGGAAAAACTAATAACGATGGAAAAAAAATTCAACTTTTTATTCCTATTCTATTACATTTATCGTATTGAAAATCAACGAAAACCATTTTATTTAATAATATTATATAAGAATAAAGTTTATTGTTATATTAAATTTATTCAGAAATATGCATACTGTATACAATAAATAGAATTTGAATGTTATTTTTTTACGCATAAAAAAATGTTCATTAAGTACACGATATTTTTATAGCTGCAAAATATCCTTATCTGTACTAAAAATATTTAAAACGTCGAAGGTCAATCGAAACAATTGTATACTTTGTATTCACAATCGAATTGTTTTGAGTTTTCTATAATTCAAAATATTAACAAATATTATGGCGACTAATAGAAATATGTACGACCCCATAAGATTATATAGTATTTCTATGGCATGAATTGTTTATTTTTTGTTTAACGAAATCTAAAAAAGGAAATGAATACGTGATATATACTAAACAGCTATCAAATAAATGTACGTCATTATTAATTGTATAACTAATAAATAGGGTTATCATCATGCTTCTGTCAAAAGTCTTAACGAAATTGTAGAAGTGTTGGAATAATGGACTGTATCATATAATTTACATAATAATAATAATAATAATTATTATTATTATTATTAATTATTATTACTGGCAATGCGTAACACATACATTTAAGTATTTAAAATGCCTCTATGAAGAAACATATAACAACACGTGCACTATTCAAACAGTGTTTCGTTAAGACACGATCAAATTAATCACCGATAATGATATATATAATATAACACGCACATCTTAAAATAATAGAACATTAATATGTTAACAAATATGCAAACATATAATAATTATATGATCTCAACAAATTTTCTTCTATAATCAATAGTCAATACAACTTGTTATAACAATAAATAATAATTGAATCAAAACATTTTTTACTATAAGTACTTTTACTTACAATTTTAAAAATTTCCACAATATTTTCAATGTTTGATAGGTTTTATGGAAACTTAGTTATTAATTTTTCAAAACTGCGTGCAGTTCGTTTTTTTTGTGCAGTATTCACAACGCATGGTTATAAAAATTACTTATAATTACGGATAGTGACTATAGAAATGACGAATTATAAATCACGAATTTATATCACATAATTCATTATTTATCAATTAATTGAATACTATAAAATGTATATTATTTATTTAATGAAGAATCAAAGTTTTATTTGATGCGAATATACCCAATGATATTTATTGTTCTAATGTTGAACGTGACAGTGTTTAATGTACTCGTATGTTAAAGTCTCTTGAACATAACAATATTGCTAATAGGCTTATACTTGAAATGATACTTTTTCCGGGTAATTCAATATACAAGAAAACCTATTCAAATAAGCATCAATGAAATTGTATATGTGAACCTTCTAAATCAAACCGAAAGTAGCATGTATCCGTTTGCGCCTCGATAATATAATTTTATATCGTAAAAAAAGGATTGATATGGTATTACAAAAAAAAAATAATAATAATAAATGTGAAAGTTTCCAAAAATCTACATGAATAATTATATCACAGTGTGCATATACTTTCGGTACATAAATCGTCAAAATATTAACTTAACCGTTTTGTTTTACATTGTACCCAACACATTATTATGCATTATCATGATTTATCGAAATATCAAAACGATATTTATCTTGGGAACGTTCAACGTTTACCTTATAAAACTTAACCAAACGTTCACAACGAATGTTAATAATTTACAACACGGAATATTGCGAACGCGTTCTCTGTTTATTCAATACAAAATATTAGCGTGATATTTTGGTTTAATTGAAACACAACGAGACTCAATACCACCTAGACGTATAGATATAATATTTATTTTTGTTTTTTAAAAATATTCCTCCACCGATTCTTATGCACGAGTCCGTTCAGTGTCCAACGTTACGGGGAGGGAGGGGGTTCTCGTTGTGTCTGAGCACGAAATTAACGTACAAGATTTGTTTATTTTACTTTAACGGAGGTACAACAGCGTAAAAAAAATAATTTCATAAACATACGAGTGTATTATTGATAGAAAGACCACTACTAGGTAGGTATAAAGGTACTATATTGAAAAAATATAATAATAATAAAGCCGAAAGATTCACAATATACGTATGTCAGTGTATTCAGCTGATGGGTCCAGTGTCAACAGATCGTTCAGAATTGAATCGTCATGCTTCAAAAGGTGGGTGTATTAAATATGATTCTTATAAATACCAATGTCACAATACCACAACATTATGAATTCCATTTAAAAACTAATTTCATTACCGTATGCATTGTAAGTGTACACGTCTATAAAAAATAATATTTACTAGAAGTCCAAAATGGACTAGAATTATATTCAATTGGTTTAGTTAAAAGTGAATTTTACATAGGATTGATTAAAACGATCAAGTAAAACATTATAATATTGTCGGGCTATTCAAACATTCATTAAATTATGCTCTTCCAACATTGTTTTTAGTACCTCGTTTTTATTGTGCGGGTATATAGTTATTATTCGAAATCGCGTTGTCTTGATAACTATCTAAATACACTTGTACGTACTATGTGTAAATGTCTCGTAAAATATTCGTGTCCTTCTTACAATGTGCGCGAGGAAAACTATCAAAGTAACAGAATGATTACAATTCTGTAAAAGAACAAAAAAAAAAACAGAGTAATGACCAACTCAAGATATTTTTCTGCAATTAAGTTCTGAAAACAAGTCTGGAACGGATTAAAATGCATAACGTGGAGTTGAGTTTGGTGAAGTCGTTTAGATGTGTTTGATACAACATAAGCATTGAGAAATTATGCGTATAAAACTGCATTTAGATTTCAGATAGTAATACACTAATGTATTGATTATTGGCGGAAGACATAAATGTAGAACACAAGTAAAAATCGATAGCGTATATATGCATATAGGTATGTACATGTGCGCACGTGTACAACAACCGATTAGTTTGAATTGATGTGTTTTCGGAAGTGTTGAGTTCTATCTCGTATGTAAAACGAAGGTTCGAATGCTAAATGTTGAGAGAATCAATAGTTTTAAGAGCGAAACAAACACAACTCGTGTACGGAATAGTTTTTGACGCTTGCCAGAGTGAAAAATAAAAAATTAAAACGCACTGTAACTGCCGTTTCGCGCGCGCGATAATATTTTAATAATACGTGCGTCGTCGTGCTGCGTATTGCCACCGATATTGTTTTGAACGTCATTGGCGATAGGAAAGGAAAATATCCCTTTTACAGCGAATGGTACAGTATAAACAATCGTAGGATGAGAAAATAAAATGTGATTTGATTTGACACGCGGCACATGCATCCCCAAGTAGGTGTATGTACCCCCGTTTACGCGATTCGCGTGACATCAACCTGGGTCGATGTCTTTCGATAACAACGACGCGTTATTACGCTGTCAGATTGGCACGTCGTTCGAGCAAAATATACGCGCACACTTACCGTGTCAACAGCGTATACATACGTATCGAAATGTTATTGTTATTATCTGCGGCCAAGTGCGTAACAGCCGAGGAGAAGAGAAGAATTTGGGTACGCACATTGCTGTATTTTATAATATATTATATAAGACGCGATATCGAGTAAACAATACACATACCTTGCACCGACTATCACTTGTTTCCTGGCGATATCGAAAAGCAACTGAGAATACGACGTCACGCCATCTTCCGAGAACGTGTCGGCTGTAGACATTACATCTGCGAAAAACCAAAAAATAATCAAAATTATTCACACGTCATATTAACAGGTGTATCCGCCGAAGTATCTTATTTTTATCCGATACTCGCAGCGTATTTTTTTTCCCTACGCTTTTTCCGACGATTTCATTTCGCATAGTGTAGTTCTCTTTTATACTTGTATTTATTTATTTTTATTTTCATTAACCAGTTCGATTTATCATTTTTTTTTTTTTTCTGTAAGTAACGTTATCCCACCTCCGGGTATCTTTGTCGACGTATGTTATACACGTACGATGTGTATGTTGTTCTTTCGTAGCATTAAATTATTATTGTTATTCGGTTAGTACCTATATTTTGGGTTTTTTTTTTCTTTTTGGTTTATTTTAATGTCGGCAAACGACCATATGGACGCATATTCGAAATGGTAAGGAGAAAAGGTGATTTAATTTATTGAGACGCACGCACGTACACATAACACCCAACCGGTCCTAAACACATACGGACCGCAAGTAGTCGATCGTAAAGAAACACATGCGAAAAAAGGATAACCGTGTCAGTGATCGATTAAATATAAATAAAGCGTTTTGTTTTCTTTCAGTGGACTAGAAAATATTTCTTTTCATTTTATAAAAACGTTACAATTATCAGTGCGGTTCACGATTTGTTATTGCACTCGATTTCGTAGCGGTCAAGTGTCCATCGAATGTCGTTTGTCGTGAAATCATTACTCACTTGCGAACAGTTGTTTTTCAAGACACACATAATGTTTATAAATATTCATTAAACATCATCTAAATGATCACGACTTTCTGTACAAGTGTAATATTGACACATACTTGTTAGTAAAACTGTTTAAGTTGCATTGATTTTTACAAGAGTAACTATTGATCGTTTTTACGAATATTAAAAATGTCTTCTGGTCCTATAACAATAAAGAAAAATTGATTTTTCATATTTATGATGAAATAATAGTACCTAATACTAAATTATTTTCATAAAATCACCAATATGCAGTCAAATAATCGTAATCATATTACTAAGGTTTACAATGAATTGTGTAGGTTACTTCTAAATTAAAATGCGTAATGGATTACACTCATTAATAAAATTGAGTATTCACATATACAACACATGTAAATATTATTTTGTTGCGGAATACATACCTATACATTTTACAGTAAAATGGTATGTATTATTTTCCACCTACAAATACCACCCAGGCTTTATTTCATGATTTTAAAATATAGGCAAAATTATTGACTTTCGACTCGTTTATTGTTGTTTATATAAACACACCATTGTTATTATGAGCCACCTGCACTGGAAAAATAATGAATATTGTTACCGCAATTACGATACATTTTTAGTTTTAGACGTAATTTACACGTTTTTTTAGGACATGCTAGATTAACATAATTTGTTAAATCTATTTGTACAAGAATAAATATTGACTTATTATTTACATTATGTTTGAAGCTTTCCACAAATTAAAGTGATATTTAATATGCGATTAAATTAAAATAATAATTTATAATTTTACTGTATAATTCTTCGGTGTAAGAACTAAAAGTTTTACCCAAATTAATAATACAAGCACAACATTTCTGTACCTGGTATATATACATAATTTTTTTTTTTTTGGTTTAATTCACTTTTATTAAAAAAAAACATTACAGCGACTGTATAATTGGAATGAAAAAGAAACTTAATGAAATTAATTACTTTTATGAATTTATAATTTTATTTTTATGGAATACGATTATTCACTTGTAATATTCGGTTCATGATTCATATTATTATCTAAATATTCATAAAACAAATAACGTGTTAAATTGGTAATCAAATTGAATTCAGAAAAACTTTACGGTAAAATAATTTTCTATGAAGGGCCTCAATAAAAATATTTGACTACTACGTTGCAAACTAAAAAGCTTTATAAAAATAAGTACTTGTACACGAAATTATTCCGCAACTCCACTCCAAGAAGTATATACATAAAACACAAGTCTCCATCCAATTATTTTATGTTTTCATCACCCCTCGAGACATCACTTTATTCCTCAAAAATATCAGTATATCATTTCTATCTAACTTGAATTTTGTAATCATCCCTCTTGTATTATGAATAACCACATCAAAACTCAATAATAAATAACAATGCTAATTTAACTAAAAAAAAACCCCACTTACTATTAATCATTTGCTATCATGTATCATAATAATTTTTTTTGTTTTTTATTTTTCAAAAGTATGATGATTCAATTTTAATACTTTCATATTGAATAATTTTTTATTTAAAATAAACTATAGTTATTACGATTTTGTTAAGGTAGTTATAATTAAAAAATTCCAATTAATAGTCTCTTTCAATTTAATCCTCCTACTGGTATATTTGAAATTGAAAATTCATTAATCCTGAAATATTTTTTAAAAATCATCAAATTTGTAAATATAATAAGTTATCATAAAAATATTAATCATTCGTTATGTAGTAATGAATAAAAGTAAAATATTTTAACGATTAAATTAGTTTAGTAGTACATGATAGTATTTAATAAAGTATGTAAAACATTTCTAATCACTTATTACTAAAGCAAAATTCAGATTATTTAATTAACACTCTTAAATTAAAATAATTGAATTATTGTGGCCATTGACTATCATATTATAAACGTGAACCAATATTCAAAATTTCAAATACTACACACACTATAAATATAACTGTAATCAATATGTTGTTTCTATAGTTATTATAAGGTTAATAAAAATAAATAAAAACATACTAATTATACTATAATTTATAACAATGTGCGATATTCGAATTTGATGCAGTAAAAGCAAATCAAATTATCATAACACACAAGCAACTAGGATTTAAATTTGGAATATAAAATTAAAAGATAGAAATTATTTCTTTAAATGTACCATTATATAATATCCAATATCCAAATATATGTATATATACACAGTTAAAGCGTTTAAATATACAGTAAATACATGCAGTCAATCGTGATAAATTAATGTTATTGCTATTGCTGTATAATTAATATAGGACGACAAGAAATAATTGAATTGATAATAGATGCATATATAAATGATAATAATATTTATTACAATTTTTAACTCCCGTTACAGTTACGAATAAATAAAAACGAAAATTTAAAAATAGTTGGTAATTTTTTATCTTAAACATTTTACGACTTAATGTTAAGACAAATTGATTGGACGTCAATTTTTTTTTTTTAATTTGACATGTGTCTGTGGTTGTCCTAGCTGCTATGACGTGTGACACAATATCACTCCAGAGAAGAATAACAATGTGGTTTTAAATAATAATTACCGATGTTTATGGTCTAATGTGGTGTTTACGTTTTATAAAGATCACACAAATGTAGGTTATTGATATGTTTTGTATTATTATGTATTATACAATAATGACGATTTTTATGGGAAATATCCAAGTATCTCGTTTGCGAGTATCGTGTTTTACAATACCATTATGTGTGTGTTGAACATTATAAAGATTATCCCGATTTATTAGAATATTATTTCGAGAAGAAAACTTGATCGTGTGTAAATTAGCGAAACAGGTTTCTGCGACTAAATTCGCCTAATTATGACTAACGATCACCTTTCATATGCAATTATTATTATCGGCATATACCTACTCCTCTATGAATCATTTTTACCATGCCTATTCGTTGAATTAAATCTCTGTATCACGGTTTTCTTTGTTCGTTAAATGTCTGTATCATCGCGATAACGAAGAGATACTATCATCATTACATAGAGTCGTCCCTTATCTAAATTCTAATAATTTCGAAAAAACTGTATAATGTGAATCGCATTATTAACCTCAAGTTTAAAGGTACAATTATAATGAATTATAACTCGAATATTGCATTAACAAGCCAATACCGCGAAATGGTTTTGTATATCTGGTCGCCCGTCTCTCCAAACGTGTTTATCAGCAAAAATAGGTTTCTCCGATCAAAGAAAAAATTTGTGCAATTAAATATCACTCCTTACATTTTTTTTAGACATAGATTATATGTTTTAAACCCGAGTGATATAAAATTTAACTATGTAATAATATGCAAAATGTTTAAGTACAACAACAAGTGTATTAAGTTAAATAATAAATTAATTTTAACGATAATGTATTTATCACTACATCGCTTACAAAAAGATACTCATGTTGAACTGTACTCGTATCAAAATCAATAATAAATATTTATTTAAAATTATTAATTTATAGGTGTTCTAAATAAATCAACTTAATACAAATCATTTTATTTTACATAACTATTATTTAAATAATCTTAGAAATATAAGAAATCTATAAAAAATATTATATTATTAAATGTAACACAATATAGAATAATAAATTATTAGCATTCACACACAATGTAATTTTTTTTTAATAAAGTAAGAGTTTTCTCTTTGGATAAAGAAAATGAAGAATTTTAATTACAATGTATGTAAAATATATTACTGAGGCTAATTTCCTAACCAAAAAATAGCCCGAAATACCAACATAATAAAAATAATTAAAAATAATATATGGTTTTTAATTAAACGTTATAAATAAAAAATGTGTAACAATAACATAGTTATACTAAACCATAATTATATTTATGCATTAAAATAGAAAGTAATATGCATATTAATATAGTAAATCTAATGAAAGCTCAAGGATAAAACTATTGAACATATAATTTATGAAAGAAAAGGTATAGTATGCATCAAAAACGATGATCACGTTACGAAAAAATAAAAATCTCGTTTCTCAATCATATACTCGTACAATAGACTTCGTGAATCCTACACTGCGTATATATCGTTCCGGAAAACAAATGGACGGAACAACCGACCGCCGTGTTGTTTACGTAGTTTATATAATGTGTGTTGCAAATCCCGAAACAGCCACAGAAAAATTCAAATGTGAACACGATATTCAGAAGTTGTCATCGTTTGGGTATACGTTTCGGTCCGATGGGAATACATCAATGTCTATACGTGAGACGACCTCCGACGAGTGAAAAGGCGACTTTTAGCCCTGCGTCGGGTTTTGATCGGGGCGACCAGATGTGGTGCAACACTCGGGAGACGAAGACGGAGAACATGGAGTCTCTATCGTCGTTTATTGTCGTCGTCGCCTACATCCTACGTATTATTATATACCTAACCATAACGTGCGACCATATGTTTATTGGATTTTACGGTGGAAAAAAAAACTGGGAGGCCATGTGCGACGCGAATGAACCTTCTACGCGCGTACAAAAACACACACACGTATATACATAATATCGGATATTTATCACGTGTGTTTATGTGTGTGTGTGTGTGTGCATGTATAAATACAGACGGGAGTGTAAACGTGTATAATACGTGTATGTGTCGCGCGTAAAGATATCTGGAAGACGACACCCACCATACTCGTACATACCATCGGCATATCCAAAGAAATGGCTTCTAAAAACGCGCATCTACACGCAAATCGTACATAATAATAATGATAATAATGATATGAATATAATTTGAATATATACAATGTTTCCTCTACCGCTCCTCGCGACATGATTTTTCTTACCAGTGCGCATTTGCCCGCGGCCTTATAACCGTTCCGTGGTCAGCGCAAGAGTAATTACGGTTGCAGCACACGACCGGCATCATGCCACCAATACCCCTTCCATTTCCCACAACATGACCACCCCCGATTCCTTCTTATTATCGAAATTCAACCGTATAGGAAAAAAAATTTAAAAAAATGTTAAATATTATTATCAGTACTATTATACTACTGTGTCAACGGCCACCGTCAAGGTCGTTGGTGATGCGATCTTCGGTGTATCAAGTATGTTACAATAACACGTGTAAAATGCATACGAGATTGGTCGTTGAAAATGCCGAGAACGACAAATAATGGCATCGGTAGTTACCGTCGCTGTTGTACGGGCGGTGGCGGTCGCCATTGCTGTTCAACCGAAACCCATTCGAATAATAAAACGGAAACCAATGCGTGTGCCTGTGGTTATTGTGTGAAATGTAGATACGAACGTAATATTATGTCTTATCGTGTTGATCTTAATAAATTTACAAAACGCTTCAAATACAATATTTTATTAAATTATACGGCTTATGATAATAACATCGTAATTTAACTATAATTGGCCCCAACGATTAAGTTAATATATTCATAATCAAATCGAAAACGAATTCTTTTTGAGAACAGTTTCCATTACGTTTCAACAATTCCAACAATCGACTATTTTCTTTTAAATATGTTTCGACGCTTGAAATTTATAATATGATAATACGTTATTTTTTTTCGAGCGTAGACTTCTCCAACATTATTGAATAGTTGTTAATTATACACGATCATTTTTTCTTATAATTTTCTAAAAGAGGTTATAACCAATTCAACTATTACACGCATCGTATAAAATAAAGCAATAACGTGTATTACGAATACTCTCCGAACAAATTTTATTCCCTTGAAGATTTTAATTTTTTCCCGCGGGTTGATTTTATAATCATTTTGATTTGGAAATTACTACGGGTATATTAGAATTAGCACTTACTACTTCGTATAATGTAATGACTTTATAGCAAAATATAGAGAACGATACCGTGCTCGATGAAGATCAACACGTCCGATGAACTAATAATTTAAAAACTAACTAACCAGATATAAGAATAGATACGAATACATCAGAACCTTATTTTGGGTATACCTAATAATTATGGCTTTAGCTATCATATTTATAAACAATTATTAAACTTTTGCCTTTTTACTTTCAAAAACATATCAAGTAAGCGATAAATTTCTTGACGTCTCATTCAATCTGATTAAAATTTCAAATGAAAAAAAAAAACATTATCAACCTACAATACGGTTGAACAAGCTACTAGTTGGTAACAAAAGAGAAAAATTCATCCATTTTTAGTTGTTTATTAGAATCAAGAGAAAGTTCACTATTGTCAATTGCATTTAGACATATGGTCAACATTTCTGGATATTATCATTGATGTAGAGATATTATTCGAAATTATAAAAGTTATAATTATTGTGTATTAAAAAAAGACAATTGTTTTTCAATTTTAACCGCATAGAAAGAAATGATTTGTTTTCAGTTGTTATTCGCTTATATCCTTTCATTTTTCGACCTTAGAATTTTTGAAAAAACATGCTTTATAGTGTATATTTTAATGCACGTCGTGTATTGTATACATGATTTTAGTAACGCGTACGTTTGCTAAAAAAACATATGGTTGAATTACATCAGTAAGAAATTATAAAATCGTCTCAATAGAAAGAAAGGGAAAAACTATATATTATTCAAATCTTTTATGATAATATCTCATTTCTCGGAAAAACAATTCGCAAAACCCTTGATAGTAAACGAGATAACCACATTATTGTAATTGCACACTGTTCGATAAATACTACGCAACTTCTTCACCAATCGACAAGTTTGCCCACGAGTGTTTTGCACAGATTCTTTGACCTCTATTATTCGTATTACCGGGAACGATTATTATTATTATTATTATTAATAATGAGAGATCATACTGTATACGTACCTACTTTAAAATAATATATGTTTATACATAAAGATGGTCGTGTGGGAAACCATATCTCGTTGCGCCAAGTCACTGTTGACATTATGCAAACTTCGAGCATTGTTTTCGTACATTGCCAGCGCGCCCCGTACATGCCTCGGGTAGTGATGCTGCAGTATCACGGAGGCCAATTAAAAAAAAAATCAGCCCTGTTATCGTTTGCGGATTTTTAAAATTCAGGCCGTCGATGTGAAATCTCCGGGGCAACGTGGCGGATAAGAAAAACCTCGCTCAGGTCCGGGCACTGTATAAGGACAATACGGCATTCTTTTCTACCGACCGAGGCTTCTGGTCTATAACGGATGATTTGTATAACCTAAACGGGCACGTCTTCATTAACGAGAAAACGTCCTCTCCTTCCCTCCTTACCACTTGTCCATCACAAAACGTCTTTCGCGTGGTGTGTACGTGTGTGCATGTGTATGCTTAAGATCCGGACGTCCGCAACGAAGGTCACGAGCGCGATAGAATGAAAAAACCCCGATGGCAAGGACCTCTATCTTTACGTCCTGTAATTGTCCTGCGTTATAAAGACTATAACAGTATTAGAACTGTGTGCTATTTTCTATACACTACGCGTAAGGCTAGTAATCAGCACGGATTCAATAAGCCGGGCAAATCACATAGAACCGTCAACAAATATTCTAGTCGAAAACAATATATGCTTACATCTATATTTATGCATTCCCATTGTTTTTAATCCAAATCTCACATTGTATATGTAATCTATAATACATTATTGGCATGGTATACTTTACTTGACGCCATCGTACCACTTATTTCATAATGCAAGAAGTAAAATTTCGATAATCTTTGTTTTATGTAATTTATTTGACACCATATCCAACAAACTGATGTATCATGTTAATCATATTATTTTATACTATTGCGAACATTAGTTTTGTTTTTTATTTGTGAAATTAATAATTAAATTATGTGTATTTATATAATTATAAAAATGAATAAAAATTTATTTGAATGTGACTTATCGCTATTTAATTTTAAGAACATTTAAAAAAAGAATGATTTTCTCTTAATACATACAATCTATATTAAAATAATTTTAACTCTACTAACGCCAATGTAAATGCAAAACATAAATGTTGTGATTAATGAAATAGCATATTACATTATACAGGAGCATTGACTTGGAAATTAATTAATTTATATTATATATTAGTTTATGTTTATAATGTATAATTAACAAATTATGAAAGTTCAAGAGCTTGAACTTTATATATTAGTAGTTATTCATGAAAATATCTGAAGATGAAATGTAATAAATTAATTTGAATATTATTATTATCGCCCTACATTTGCGACAATAACTAATAATTTTATCGTTAAACTTGAGGCATGCAACTGAGTATAATATAATGAGATTACATGGCATCAAGAACAACCAACTCACTATACACAGATATTGTTTTAAAAGTATAGTACAAATAAATCAGTCATACATGTTGAGGTCAATTCACTATTCAACTAACAATGCGTCGTGCATGCACAGTTGACACTAAATTTAGTCATGCAATCGTAATCCTCTGCCTGAAAATCTAAGCATCTGAATACAAGTCTCCTCGTTAGTATACTTTAAGCTGTCACGTCACATACTCGCATCAAATGATTTCGTAATACTTTCTACGCGTGTATCATTTTAGAAACTTGACAACAGTTAAGGTAAATATTGTGCACAGAGGGAAAACTGTCCAGATATCTATTGCGTGGTTTCGGTATTTTTTCACAATTTAAAACGTTCATTCCTAACGCTGCTGTTATGCTAATCTTAAAATATACTTTTTTTGACGTCATATTTACCTTTATACGGGATAACGTGATGTTCCGGTTCGGTTTGGTGAGTGTTCGCGACGCACGCAACCATCAACAATACGAGAAACAGCATCATGATACGCGTATATGACCGTGTACTTATAGGTAACCCCTGAAAACAAAAACAAAAAACAATCAAAATACAACATAACATTGTATTGTTATATACACGTCATATCACACATTTGTCGTTCTACGTCTTCTGTAACAAACAGTTATCATGTTTTTTTTTTTTAACATTCAGATTTACGGCCAACAATCGTTCGGCATCATTAAAGAGCCGCGTGAAACGGATCGGTCGACCTGACCTCACGCAAATCAATCTCGTTTATTACACATGCTTCGAACCCTGTTACGGCCGCGAGGAGAAAGAGGGAATTATGCCCTACACGAGAGTATAATATTATCAACTTTTATGCTTGTTCAGCGTGATAGATTACCCGCTGCGCACCGACTGTCGTTCGACGAAACCACGGGGTCATTGGATTCTGGGGACCACAGTATAATGAGAGTTATAATTTTAATCCGCTTTCAGATGAACAAAAAGAAAAAAAATAGAATATTACCATTACCCTGAAAATGAGATTTCCCCTGTTCTTGTCGGGAAACATAATTCCATAATATCTTTATAATATAAGTAAATTACATTAATAAACAACAGGTAACATGTTTGACAAAATATGTAATGTGTACGTTTTCTACGAATCGCAATGTGAGAAAAAAATCGTGTTCTACAACTATTTATTTGTTTTGGTTACCTAAAGTAAAAATAAAACAGTGATACACGGTTCGAATGATACCTATTTGATAAAATGCTTTCATATTTAATCTATGGAATTTTAGAACTTACATAGTCTCACATTATTTAGTACGAAAAAGTCGATAAAATAAAAAATAAAATCTCTTGATGACATGAATACATTTCAATTTTACAAATAGAAAATTAATTTCATAGAAGCAACAAAGAAAAATAGAAAATCGTCAAACGGTAACTTATTATTGTGTTCTGGACCTATATAATTATATTATACTTAGAAAGTAAGTTTGATTGTAGTTTTTCTTTTGAATCAAATATAGTTTCTAAATAGACTAACGGTCTAGATGATAAATATTTATGATCAATATAAAAATAAAAATCGTAGACACATACTGCAGTATAGTCACTTCAAGAAAATTAACCTAATTCATACTATGGTCATGCTTAAAACAGTAGTTTTATAGATGTTCGTTTTCATAAATTATGCAGTATTTGATGTTACTATGAATAATATATATAACATATAACTAAGAATAATATGAGCCATAAAAAATAATATAGATTTTTCATTTATCTGAAATAACCGTACGATTGTATAATGTCGATACGATGTCAATGATTATCGATGTACAGTTTCATTATAGTTAATTTACAATTATTATATAATTTTATAATGTTTTCAATTATGAATAACAGATGATATTTTATTTATATTTATTAATTTATATAATCAAAAAAGAAAAATAATCAATTAATTATATTCATAATAACAATTTAAAAAGGTACTTTAAACGTTAAATTTTTTAAAACTAATAATATATTGACGTTATGTAAATAATATTTTGTGAACCATACATATATTACATGAAAATAATAAATTAATAATTATAAATTAGTTAAAATCAACAATATGTTAATACTATAAAATTTCAATATTCGCATACTAATTCATAACTTAATTATTTATATGTACCATCATCAGAATGTTTGCATTCTCTACATTATCAAAACATTGATCACAACAAAATTCTATAAACTCTGTAGTAAAACCTTCCTTGGGTAAAAAAAAAATGTGGAAACATCCTAAAAATTAAATATTATCCTATAAAATAATTATAATAAGTAATTATTTAAATTTTAATTAATGCAATCCTTTATATTATAATATTATCACTGAATACTTATTATACAAATTTATCAAAAATAAATAGTATAATAATAATGATATCAAAAAATGAAATACAGTTCGATTTACCATTGGTCAACAATCATCTGTTGCTAAGCAAATCATACATTACTTTAATATTATTATTTTATCTGATGTACAATTGCTTTGGCTATATAAAAAATAAATATTACTCAGTAATAAAGAGACCACTTTTTATTTAAACTTTATTTAAAATTGAATTTTAACTGTATCTGTTACAAACTGTATCATTTCTTAATCATCCACAAGTACGGTTTTGTTATAATTATTTAAATACAATAATACTACGTAGAACCAGTTTTTCTATATGACATTTAAATTCAAATATTATATTTTAGGTGTGTTTACAGTGGATGGGTATTTTTTTATTTTTATCGACCGCAGACATTATCAGCGCAGGAGAACTATGATTTTTAAATATATAAAAACGAATTATTGTAATTTTGAGTTCAGTGACGGTTTCTCTTGGACTTATCTGAATACGTTACAAAGAATGAAAGAGGAAAAATGATTCCATACTATTTTTTATTTAAACCTACCACGTCTTGTATAGACACGTACACGCGCGCGCATCCGGTTGGTGTATAATACCTCCTTGTGTGGCTACCGTTTTATTTTTAACAGAAAAATAAGAAGAAAAAAGTGCTTTTACAAACGGCTCCGCAATGAATACAAATATAACAAACGGTCAAATACACCATAACAGTATCGTGTTCTCGGTCATAGATATTACAATTTTACGCAGCTTATAATAATAGATATAATAATTGAAAATGTAAGAACATTTTTTGAGCATGTTGTAGATCTCGACTTATTTATATATTATATGTGGTACATATGCAATTATCATTTACGGTTTCTAATAGAACATGACGAAAAAACTTAAATTTAGCCTATACACAAATGTGATCAAGTCATATTATTTATGTAGAAATTCATTAGATATATTATTATGCTGTAAAAGCAAAATTAACAACAAAAAAATTCACATCAACTTCAAACAATATAAATATAAGACCAGTGCATCTATATAAATTATTCATACTGTAAAATGAAATGTAGTATAAGTGGTGATAGTAGTAGTATAAAAACAAGAGAATATTTCATTTTTGCTGACACGCCATAGTACCATACAATAGATAAAAAGATCAAAGAACAGATTTTGAATAATATTGAATAAAACCATATTGTCGGCAAATTATACAATCCTACGTAATTAATTTACTAGTAGTAACGGCCGTTATTATTTCATAACCTTATTACCATTTACCGCTACACATATTTAGATTTTAAAAATAATATATTTACTCAGAAATTCACTGTTTAAAATATAATCTCAGTTAAACAAAATTATAATTTTTAATTCATTAATTTTATTAATTCAATAAAAGCTGCAAAATGTATACTAAACCCCTTAATATAGTAACGAGTTAGTAACATTTTCATGAGCTTTAAATATTTTAAAACCACAAAACAATGTATGTTCCTTAGATGATTTAATATGTACTTTACTGCACTAAACATTAAAAAACCATTATCAAATATGTGGTGATAAACTGAAATCACACAACCAATCAGTTCAACGCAACGACCCAGAGTAATCATTTTATCACACAACTATTAAAAATAGAATTTTTAAAACGTATCTACCTTAGATATTAATGTTGCTTTCATATAATCATATAATGAATTGAAATAAAGATTTTTATTTTTATATAATAATCAATAGCATAAAAAATAATAAGGTTACATTTTATCCGTGAACTTAATATTTCAATGTCCCAAACAATTATTTCGTTGTTCCTTATCCCAACTTTTAATAAACTATTAGCTGATGTGTATTCAAAAAATATATAAGTATTTACGTATAGTTTTATTTAAAAAATAATTATTTATAACCAACCAATATCAATTTATTTTTTGAATAATGGTACTCTTATTCTACTCTGTATTAATGACAAATAAGTAGAAATAATAAATATGTAAAAATACAGGGAGCGGATAAATAATATTAACACCATGCAATATAGTTACATATTGTTGCATTATGTTTGTACTGTACCTCCAACATCATTATATTCATATTGGAGCAATTTGCGGATATTTTGGTAGAAGAATGGAACAAAATTATATTGGAAACTATTCAGGTCCTTTACGAATGTATTTTTCGGAGGATTGAAACTGTTTTAAAAGCAAACGGTGGCTCAACACCTTATTAATAAATAAATATGTAAATATAAATAAATAAATTGTTTCGTTTTGGAAATTATTCTCCATCAAATATTAATTTTTAGGACCATCTTTGAAACTTAAAAAAAAAAAACAAAAAACAGAAATTAAAAATTTAGTCATTAAACATGAGATTATTATAATGTATTTTACCTAAATCTTTTGAATTCTAGCTGTTAGTTTATTATTGATAGCATATTTGTATGATCAATGATCGTGTGACTATATGTACTTCTGGACGCATATCGCGCGGTGGCCATCGTAATTGGAATAGATTTTAATGGCTTTCAGCAACGGGCGGTGTCCATTGACATGCGCCATTAATTTCGTTGGATGATAAAATATGTTAATTATCGCACGTTTTTTTAATACTTGTGTACCGTATCAAATAGAATAGGTCTGTGTATTTTACGTGAATAATCATTTCAAAAGGTAGCTAACTAATTATAAATGTAAAAATCACAGTGTATGTAATTTTTACCCAGTGACTTTATAGTGTATATTACTGCTGAGCAAACTAAAATAAAATTGATTGAGACTGGAAAAAAAGAAACAGGAACCAACTATTGTCATTGAAAAAAAATTGCCTTCATTTAATTATAAACAAGTATTAACGAATTTTTTGATAAGTCATCACTAGTTTAAAAAAAAAAGTCATTGGTTTTTAAAAAAAAAGACGTATAACAGATTTTAGTTCTCACAAAACAAAATAAATACTTATTGTTTGTATAACAATATACATGTTATAATCAATGTTCGATCTATATAATCTTTTAAATGTATACAATACATTATAAATCAAAAATAAATATTAATAAAATGTCATAGGTATTTGACTTTTATCTATTTTTCCAAACAGGATACAATTTAAATATTAATCTAGACCAAAATCAAGTTCAAGCTATAAAATGTTGCTTAT